CTTCCGATCACCAAATTTTAACATATGTTTTAAAAAATCTTCCCATCACATCATGTTCTAAAAATTAGTTATTCAAAATTGTGATGACCGCCTGAAACATAAAGCATGTGAAATGGTATCCCAAATACTCTTATTCTTGATATAATAAACTAGACGAGATCGACACAAAATCAGATTTTGAACCGGCCTGAAAAAATTAAATTAAAATAAAAATAGTACAATATGATCTCCTTCATAACTTTAAGAAAATAGCAATGCGCTAAAATTATTAAAAAAAAAAAAAAAGGAAGTAATGCGTTAAAATTAATTTTTTAATGCATCTATTTTATTTCGATCAACTTAAATAGCTTTTTCTTTTAAATTACAAGCGAAAAAGTGTAGCACTACTAAAATTATTCATGTCATCTGCAAATAATTATATGCGCGTTGGCTTCACGAGACGGCAATCCATGCAAAAAGACAAATTTGCGGTCCCCTCCGCCCCCCCACCTCCCCTCCCCCCATTTTGTCGGCGTGGATCGGTGGATCATGAATGAATGCCACAATGTAATTCTTGGTACAATATCCACATCGCACAATAATTGCAAGCATACCCTTCAGAATTCCCACTCACTTTTTTTATTTGTCACTTTCAATGATCAGTATAAAATTTAAAATTATGTGATTTAAATTTGAGTCAAAAAAATTTTCTATGTGTAATTAAATATTTTTAACTGAATTTTTCCGATGTTAAATTTATGTATTGACATTTACTAAACTTTAGAAAATAAAAATGACATTCATTATATTTTTCAACTTATTATTTGAGACAATTTTTTGTCTGCTTTGCATTTCAGGTTGTCATCACAGTTCTATTTGAAAGATTACCTTTTCTTTTTGTTGTTTTGTAAAAATTTATGTGACGTAAAGCTATTTTTTTCAGCTTGATATATATATATCTAAAAATAAACTCCCTGTCTTGCTTGTGCTCGCATGCTTCTGCCATCCTATACATCATTTTTCCCTCATTTTAGGGAAAATTATTAGTTCAAATGCGTCTGAACTCAGTGTATAATAATATCGTGCACATGTTGTATAACAATATACAACAATGTTATACATTAAGTACATATGCATTCGAACTCCGCATGTAATATTATTTCCCAAGTTTTAGTACTTACAAGCCTTCCCACGTTCTACGTGCATACTAGCACCTACATAACATGCCCACATTCATTTGCACGCTCGTAGGAATGTTGAACTTGCATGTCGCTTTCTAAGTGCAGGCATGCATCCCATGCCATTGTGATTTATGTTGCCAACTTATCCATGGTTTATGTGTTGTGAGATTCAAATTGCAGAAATTTATTAAAAAAATTTGAAGCAAAGTTTTGAACAGAAGCATATAAAATAAGAAAATAACAAAAAAACATAAGATTAAACGTAAAAAATTCAAAGAATGGGAAAAAATCACAGTTACCACACCAAAAAATCTATTACCCAGAAAATAATGAAAATTGTATAAATTAAACCACACTCAAGTCTCTTCCCACCTTGAAGCACATCATGACATTCCTCTCCTCTCCTATGTCCAAGAGAATTTGAAATCAAACTCTACTCAAATTAACAAAGCCAACATAATAATTTAAAAAAACAGCCTAAAATTGATCGCAGACGTCAGGATGTCGCAAAGTGGCACTCCAATGGCATTGGGGTGTTGCAGTGTTGTGCTTTGAGTTCTGAAACTGGATTGAGCGCGACGACACTGTCTTCCGAGTGTTGGGACGTTCCTTGCCTCTATGTAGGTATGCTGCAAGTACAACGCCGAGGTACTATATACGGGAAAAAAATAAATATTTCAGGGTGCGGACGTGTTGTGGTTGTGGTGGCGCGACCATCAAGCCCAATATAGAGGGTGCAGTCACCCTGTAACATCAAGCATAGTGGATGAAATTGAGGGCGGATAGACAATTGATCGACATAATCAAACTCCACATATCAACACTTTGATGCATGTCATTTTCGTTAACTGCTATCATTCTACCCCATGCGTCACTGCCACTGAATCCCTAATACATGACTAGTTCTTACCATGATACCATCAAGTATCTATAGGTCCACTCTCAATTTCTCCATATATCTCTCCCATGATTCATGTCCTTTCAATAATTTTAGTTCTCCTTCCCCATTTTCGTTACAATTAAGTTAAATGATGAACATTATCTCTTGTTGAAGGCCTTTTACTTAATTTCTTGTTGGCTCTCACCATAAGCAATTCATCATCTTGAAGCTTCTCCAATTTATTATGGTATCATGATGTTTGCAAAATGATGATAGCTCCAACCATGTCATTATTATATGGATATTCACCAGCCTTGTCCTTCCATTGGCCAAGCTAACATGTAACTTTCTTCATCCTACTAACTTCAACAAAATGGTATCTTGTGATGTTTACTACCATTAATTTTTTTTTTCATAGTGAAACATATTTTTATTTTATTATGATACTCAACTATTGTACAAATAATTATGAAATTTTACAAGCTATATATATAAATACATAAAAATTATGTGATATTTTCAGAAATCCTCAAAAAAAAAAAAAATGCCACTAAAAGACATATCACATTACATTAATAAAACATTGGAATAAATTCATATATTAATAACATAACTTCACTCTGGTATCAAATTTCAATTACATACAAACAATAGAATCACCACCCCTCCTGATCATAATAAAAGAAAGGATTAGAGGTGCACTGAATACCAATAAGAATTACAACTAAAAACTAGAAAAGTAAGAAGCACCATTCTCTTTTTCTTACTTCTTCCCATTCTGATCATCAACTGCTCACTTAGAGCAGAGAAACCAGAGAATCAAACTGAAGTTGGAATAACCAACAACAGCATAACATCAAAGAAAATTTACTAACATATATATTATTCACCGTAACACCTTAAATTTCCTAAACTTTTTTTTTTAATGTAGTTGTTCTTCCTCTCAAGAACAACTTCTATGATGGCATGGTGAAGGATCTTCAGTGCAATAGTTATGTTGCTCGGGAGCAAACTGCTTCAACAGCAATTTTCTTCATCACATTGGGGCAGGGATCCCCTCCAAAATTGTTTGGGGTTATAGCTACTTCACACCTTTCCTGCCCAATGCACCTCTGCTCAAAACAAATAAACAGTGTTAGTGACTCGACAACTTTCGGGCCATCTAGGAATTGTTTGATCAAACTTTTTATAGTTTTGTATTCAATGCCTTCATTACCTTTTCTAAGATGGTGTGGGAATTTGGTGAGTGGCAAGCACCCTCCATAAAGCTTCCACAAGTCCCCGTGGGGGTACCAAAGCTCGCAAATTTGATAGCAGATATAGACTGTCCGGGTGCGCAGCGAAGGTGGACCTTTGGCCGATGGAATTCTTCCGGCTTCCCGTAGCTTTCAATGTGCCAGTTTTTGATTGTCGGATGCCATTCCGATATATCGGCACAAACGCTTGAGACTGATTGCTTGACGAGAGAAATCTTTGATGCATCCCCTCCCAACTCTTCGAATACTACTAAAAGGTTTCGGGTTGGTTGTAGCCATGATCGCGGTACGTGATACCTGTTTGGTTTGGCGTTCGGATCAGCGAATAGAAAGAAGGGGCATTCATATAGATTCCACACAACTCTTATGTATTTATATTTCAGACACCTAAACACTCATGTAAACATGGCCAAATCTTTAACATCACATCAGAAGTCCCACCAGAACTATCTTCTTAAAACTGAAATACACCTTTTCATGCATTACTTTATGAAACAAAGGTGTGATAAATGTAAGCATCAAATTCTAAATGTTAGATATGTAAGTACATAAGAAATGTGTGTTATGTATGTAAATTTCCCTAGCAAAAAATATTAATGAATACAGCAGTTTGCTAGAATAAGAGTTAGCAAGTCAAAGGACTATTTTGGCACTTTACCTTTTGAAAAGTTAAAATAATCAATCTAGGAAGCATGAAGAACCTATCTATACTTAGTAGCCCAAGGTCATTACCAGCGTTGGGTTGGCTCGCCACAGCCAGCTTGACACTTCGGCGATCGGTATGTTCCAGTATAACTACATTCCCTACAATCTCCATTCGCATAAACAGTCCAGTATCTTCCAATGCTTTCTCCATTTATCCAAATCTGTCCCTTACCCATACTTTTCATATCCAAAGCCAATGGCTCTTGTCCACCAGGTGCATCAAAATACGCCTAAAAGATGAACAAAAAAACTAATAATAAAAGAGTTTGTAGCACCAAAAAGTTAAAAAAAAAATAAAAAAAAAACAATCAAAACCTGAGCTTCGAGTTAAGTGTCAAAATAGTCCTCTTACTATTTACATGAGGACATTTTAGTCCCAGAGTCCATAAAAGTGCCACATTAGACAACATACTCTTTTAATATGGGTGAAATAATCGCCGAAGAGGATTATATTAGCCTCCATTAAATGAGTTTGGGGACTAAATTGCCCTTCTATAGATTCTGGAATCAAAATAGCCCTTACAAAGAATTAGAGATCCATTTTGACTGAAAAGCCTTCCTTACTTTGAACCATGTCAAAGGCTGCTGTGCTTGACCGGCAAAAGCGCCTTGCATCCATTCGACGGAAGAAATGCCTTCAAGAGAGTTCAAATTCATTATCTCCCCTTTAAGACCAACCTATGTTCATCTCCACAACCAAAGGAACTTAGTGACCTTCTTACACTCTTGAAATCAATCCAAAACCAAGTAATCAAGGCAAAGGGAGTTTACCTGATAGGACCATTGCTGCCAAGTTAAATCTCTTCTTCCTTCATCGAGTCCATGCAGAGCAACAGGCCCTAATACGCCGGTGTTCCATGACTCGAAATGTGTTCCAACATTCTTTTTCAGAATGCCAAATGCACGAAGGGTCAGTTCAAATTTAACTGAATGTAACCAGCTTCAAAATATCAAATGAAAGAGCCAAAGGAATTTATGAATTTACCGGTAGACCCACAGCCACACTTAGAAGTGCAATTCTATTAGAACCACCATGAAGATTATTAACATTGCCATTATATGTAATTCTTCTATTTTCCTTGGTCCCATAAGCGGAGCCTACCATCCAACAATCATTATCATTACTCTATCCATGCTTGAAAGAATGAAATCTCCAAAAGCATACCTGACAACTTCCCATTTACAAAAACATGCAATGCATGACCAGCAGATTGTACAATGATAGCCGGAGGCTGACCACCGCTTAGAAACCGTTCGTTCGGATTCACATCCACACTGAACGAAAACAGTAGGAGAGAGTTTAAACATTTGATAAATGTAGTTATATGATATTTTAAGATCTTCAGTATAGCATGAAAATAAATAATTTAGAGAGTAAAGAACATATAACATCAAGTTCCGGTTTTTAGAAGTTAACTACTTAAAAATTTCATGTTCAGAATAAAGTATGAAAAATATTTTATAATGAGAGCCATAATCTCACCTTGTAATGTACCATAGATAATCACTAGTGTCTCTGGTCACATTTATTTGCTCTAATAGACCAGTGGTCGTTAGAAGTGAATTATCTGCCATTGAAGCAACCTCCTCATCATACCTTTCCCACATGAGCTGCTCATTACTGGAGCTTACCATTTGCATTTGTGATGTTTGAACACCAACCTACCATAAAATAGATAAATCATTTTCAAAACCAAGACTTGGCCTTTTGAAGACAAAACGAAATTTTCAAAAGTAAAAAAAGTGAAATTGGAAAAATGACAAAAGATGTAATCTTGATACATCGGAACAAATGACCAATCAAGCAAATTTTGGTGACTTGTTGCTTACTTTTGCGGTGTTGAAAACCACATTTCGGCAATCAGGAAGGATGCTAATCGACCAAGGTGGCAGATTGTAGTGAGCGTTGTTGAACAAAACCCTTGCATAGGAATTAGGATTGTAGTTTGCTAGAAAAGCTGCACAACTTCCTGATTGGTGATTGAAAACATGCGCCTAATACACCCGAAAATAATCAATATCAAGAATGAAGTTCCATGAGCATAATATTAGAAAAATGAGGACTCTATTGAAAAGTCATAAATCATGCATTTGGTCAACCTGTTGATATGACCCTAAAGATAGCACAGTGGGATCAGCTGAAACTAAAGCGGTTTCACATAACTTGATGGCTCTATGGAGTTCTCTTAGGTGACCGTGCTTTGGTTCCCGGGTTGACCCTGTTAATTGAAAAATGAAGTTATAATTATAAAACTTACAAATTTTCCCATAAAAGTGCAAAGAAACAATCAAATATTTGCATTGAAATATAAATTATAAAGCTGTCTTCGACAAATAAGACAATAGAGATCATAATGACAATATAAAAAATTCATGAAAGCAGACAGTTATTTCAGCTCAATGTTCATTGTAATGGTGCACTTATTTGCATTGCACAGAAATTTACAAAACACAAATCAAGAAACACTAAGATTTATTTAAAGGAACAAACATATTTTGAAAATAAAAGGAAAAAAATAAAAAAAAAAGATAAAATTCATCATAAACAAGACCTTAAATTTAAATTTAAGTCTTCATGATATAAACATCAAAATACAATAACATAATTACAAAATACTTAATAGTTTAATACCCAAAGCCATTAAAATGGAGCTTTAAGAGAAGACAAAAATCAGAATGAAAAGTGAGGTAGAAGCCCTACCAAATTCATCTATGGGAGCATCATAATCATAGCTGGTTGTGATAAAAGGACCTCCAGCCGTACGCCCAAAGTTCGTTCCTCCATGATACTTTTAGAAAAAAATGTCAGAAAATAAACATCAACATATAAAAAATGTTAATAAGAAATTACAAATGAAAGATTCGGTTGGACAATTCTTACCATGTAGTAATTAATAAAGGAGCCACCTTTCTGTACAAAGCGTGCCACGGCAAATGCCAAGTCTTCTACAGGCCGCCGGTGAACCGGTCCTCCGAATTCGGTGAACCTAAATAGCCAATAATGTGAAAAAAAAAGAAGAAGATTGGATTAAGCTTTTGTAATTGTATATCTTCTATTAATCAACAGAGCACCATCACAAAGAAGATAACTTACAATAATTTACACCAAGCCAAAAAGGACAAAGTTGTAAAATATAGAATTAGAAAACAACTCACCAACCACTCCAAGCTTCAGTCCACATCATGGGTTTGTAAGGCTTATTGGGGCTGAAAGCATCGCAATAGAATCCATTACATGCATTTATCTGCAACCACAAATTTAAAGTCTGTATTAAAACCTTAAAGATAAGATTTTTAATATTAAATCAAGGTTTAGGTCATTTAAATAAATAAATATATTATGCAAAATTTGATATTTAAAATGCATCACATACCACAGGATCAGGAGCATCATCCTCTTTGCACATCACCCATGGGACGCCTGTATCCATTCCGACAGCCATGCTTGCTGCCCAATCGATATAAGCACGACCGGCGGAACCAAAAGCCTTTCCTTCAGGTCCATACTCATTCTCAATCTGCACATAGGATCAGACAATCTGTTAAATACGTCAATTGTAATCAGGAGGATTTACATACGAACCTCTCAATTCCCATGTGTTTACATATCCGAGACCTAAACTTTAAATTTTACATACATGCCAACCTTGCCTATGCATGAAAAGGTATGTTTCACTTTTTAAAAAGTTAAAAGGGTAGTATTTTTTATGTGATATGAAAGATTTTGGTGGTATAAATGTAAAGAAGTAAAATTTAGGCGTTAGATATGTAAAATCCATAAGAATTGAGTTGTGTGTATGTAAATTCCCCTATATATATATGGCAAGTTTCTCTAGCAAGCCCAACGGGTTGTTTGGTTGCAAACTTTCGAGAGAATTTAGGTTGAATCGCGACAAATAAATTTTTTTTATCAACTAAAATTACATTTTTCTCGCATTTTAGGATGAATCCCGAATTTAATAAATCTCAGGAAAAGTAGGATTTGAGAGAGTTACATCGCTCATCTCCATCATGTCTCTTCCTCTCCTTCATTTAACTAATGAATCTTGAACATATTAATCAAATAGTTTACTATAATTCAACAAAATTTTATGTCTACCATGTAGCACAGATAGAATTTTCTAAATCTGGAATTACAAGCTTTACTAAATCCTACTAAGATAAAAGGAAGATTTACATTCAAACCACTCAATTCCTCTGTATTTACATATCCAACACCAAAACTTCAATTTTTACATACATGCCACCTTACCCCTACATGAAAAGGTGTATATTTCACATCTTAAAAGTTAAAATGGTGGTATTATTTATGTGATATGAGAGAATTGGATGGTATAAATGTAAAAAGTAAAGGTTTGGTGTTAGATAAGTAAACAAAAAATTACTTATTAACAAAAGCCTAAGGTTTTTTCAAGCGCATGCCTGTGAGAGGATAATTGGGCCGCCCTGTGACTCGAACAATGACTCGCTCTTCATCATCTCTACAATTTTCTGAGTAAAACCGCGCATCGCATTCTGAAAGAGCACGTAGTAACCAAATAATTAAGTTATATAATAACCACAAACAGTTGCTTAATCATCTCAACTAAGAAAATTAGCAAAAAAAAATCTACCTTGAAAGGCTCATTGTCTGTCCTGAAGCTGATTCCAGGTACATACTTCAACCAAACAGGAAATCCTCTGACCAAAAAGTAAAAGCCAAGAAAAAAAAGACAAAATTCATTCAAGGAAGCACACATAAATCAAGATTTAACAAAAAGATCTCAGGAAGAAGAAGATAAATACCCAAAATTCCACTCTCCGCAAATGTATGGTCCGATTCTGAGATGCAAATAGAGCCCAGCCTTCTGCACTGTCTTAATAAACCTCACCAAATCGTATCTCCCCTCAAAATTATACTATCAAAAGAGCAAAATCAACAGATCAATGCCCTTAAGAAGAGGACGATCGAAGAAAAATGAGAAAAAGAAAGGTTTTGTAAGGCATGCAAGGTAAAAAAAAAGTACCTTTCCAGGAGAAGGTTCATGGCCGTTCCAGAATACATAGGTCTGGATAACGTCGAGCCCTCCATCCTTTGCCTTCTGGATGAGTCCTTCCCACATCTAGTTGCAGAAATCGAACATAAAGATTCGAGCTGTAAGAACTTTTCAAGCAGAGAAGAAAAGCACAAATGGAGAAGAAGAAAGAAAAGAGAAAATGGGTACTTCTGGTGTGCTTCTCGGGTAGTGAATGGAGCCGGAAATGAGGATTCTTCGCTGCCCGTTGATGATAATGGCCTTCCGGTCGTAAGTCACGCCGCATTCCGCCGCCGGAAGCAGGAGGAGGAACAGAGCTGTGGCGGCGATTGCCGCCGCCGCCGAGGACGGCGAATGTCTGTTAGTTTCTCGCATTGGAGAAGGCGAGGAGCGAGAAAAATGTGATGGAGAGTGGAGAGAGAGAGAGAGAGAGAGAGGTGACTATGGTCTAGTGAACCCGGAGGCCATGTGCCTGCTCTTTTGACGGTTACAGAGAGATGATGATAAAGCTGAGAGGAATAGATGCCAGCGCTTTCTCTCACTCTCTCTGTCTCTCTATTTGTCTTTTCATTTTTATAAAAATAAAGGAGATTTAGATAAATACATATTTATATATAATTATATATCCATATATAAAAGTAAAAATGTATCTTTCACTTTTAATTATTAAAATAGTTATGTTTTAGATGTGATGCAAAATTTTAGGAGGTATAAATGTAAAATATAAAATTGAACTAATACATAAGAATTGTGTGGTATGCATTTAAATGCTCCTTAAAAAAATTATTCAAAGGTAAATTTTTTAATTTGATATTTATAAATTAGAGGCATTTATACTACTTATAAAGTACCTTTCACTCTTTAAAAATTAAAATAGCGATATTTCAGATATGATATGAAAGATTTATATGGAATAAAATTTAAAAAAAATAAAGTTTAGATGTTAGATATATACATGCATAAGATTTGGAAAGTATGCATGTAAATGACCCTAAAGATATTATTGAACACGATGGACCGCCCAAAACTTTCATATGACATCAAAATATATTAATATTTTAGTTTTTAAAAGTTTTAAATTATTATTTTTTTCACATGGGTGAACACATAAGAATTGAGGGGTATGTATGTAAATCTTTCTTTCATGAAATAAATATATTTGTTATTTTGAAAATATATTGCTAAATTTGAAAAATAGTTTATTGTAAGGGGTTGCATAAACCGCTCTCCACTAATCTTCTCTTCAAATTTTATTCTTCCTTCTCTTCTCATCGCCAATAAAAATTTGATTCGCTTAGCGGATTAATTTGAGTGTAGAGTGAGAACATTTATTATCTGATGGAATATATATATATATATATCTTATATATATATATATATTCTTTTTTTTTGGGAAGGAAAGATCAATAAATAGAAAAAAGTCAACGGTCTATTATATGTTCTATTTTATTTATGAAATAATTATGTTAAAGTCCCACCAAAATAAATAAATCTTATTAGACGTATATTACAACTCAGCATTACGACATATGCGACCAATTATAGCCTATGTGACTCACAACTCCTATAGCATATGCAGTTTCTTACTACGATCCCTATGATTAATCGATGCTGCTAAAACAAACATCTAAAGGCTATATGACCAACTACTACCACGACTTTCAGTTACGACATCTACATTCAGTGGGCACTACAACTACAGTCTACAACATTCATAACAAGCTACTGTCTTTACAACAATTTATTACAATCTTTGTGGCACGTTAAATCTATTATTGTTGAATTACTATTGCAGATCAACATAGAAGTTCAATATTCTCTAATTAAAAAAGAAAGTGAGTTTATATACTTATAATCACATAGTAAATTATCTCAACTAGGACATATCACTTGATTTTTTTTCCTTTTCAGGTTCCACTTACAAAATTAAAATGATTTCTCGTGCAAATTTCTCTTTTATCTATGTGTGTGTTGAATTTGTCCGGCTCTAAGGCTTTAAATTACTATTCTACTGCTGTAATTCTCCCGACACACAATAAACTGCATATTACTTGATATCGTATTTAAAAAAATTGAAACAATTCTATTAAATTCATGGTTGAAATTTCTTCTTAAAAAATATATGATTTTTTCATCTCAAATAATATTCTCATGAATAACAAGAACGAATATATCGCTTTTGCATATATTTATTATAAGCAGCTTGTAAAAATCTTTTAGTTAGGAGAATTCAAGCACACATCAGGCCATTTTTATGTAATTTACCTTCTAATCTATATTTATATTCATAACACCTCGGTAAACTAAATTTATTCAAGAAAATATATTTTATTTCTAAAATAATAATAATATTATTAATACTTTTAATGTAATGTAAAAATTTGAGCATCTAAATATTAAAATTTAAATGTTGGTTGGTATTTATGTAAATGCCAAAAAAACCACTCTGAAATATTAATAGCACCGAGAAATTATTTCGTACTGCATGCAGAGATGTATATGATGTCTGATTTTCATCGTTTATTATTACAATAAATTTTTTTTTTTAAAAGTTATAAATGAGATTCATCAAAATACATCTTTACGGTGATCGACTGTGAAAATCGAATACTGTATGAATACATCTTTACGGTGATCGACTCGACTGTGAAAATCGAATACTGTATGAATACATCTTTACGGTGATCGACAGTGAAGAACAGATATGAAATAATTTTTTAACAGGAAAATCTAATTAAAAAACATGTCGGTACAATATTTTGGTTTTTTTTTTTTTTTTTTTTTTTTTTTTTTTAGTTAAAAATAATAAAATCACGTAATCGTCATCAATCAATCAATGCCGTCCGGTGCGGAGGATCGCTGTCAGCCACCGACACAAACCCGCTGGCAGCAATTTTGTAATTGCACAACTACCGATTAGATTCTTTGAAAAATAATTATAGTTTGTAATGAATAATTAAATTAACTAAAATATGTGCGTCATCATCAATATCATTAACTTTATGGAATCAATGACATTATCTTAATAATTCCTTTATTTTCTAAGTGAAATACATAATTTCACTAATATTTTTTAAATATAGATATATAAAATTTAAATGTTAGATATGCAAATACAAAATAATAGTGTGATAAGGATGTAAATTTCTTAAATATATTAAATATATTATTTAGCTTATATATGAATCCATGAAACTGCAAGATGTTAATCTAAATCTACAAGATGTTTTCTGTGATTTTAAAGATGACAAACTTTTCAATCTATTTTGAGTTGATCGATAATATTGCATAATAAATTTATTGAGAATCAAGTTAAATACTTCTTTCTCGAAGTATGATATATGACAATCATTGAGTCAGTCATCACTCATTTAACTACATTATCGATGTTTGATACTTTTCGTTACAGAAAAAGCTCTCTCAACTATAGCGGTAGCAACTGGTGAAATAAATGTCAATGTGATAATTATGTAAAAAAGAGGATACACACAATCATTCTTAGATTTAATAAGCTATTTTACAAGATCAGCAATGCTTCTAAAAAGTAAGAAATCATTATTAGAGGGCATGTCAATAATATAAGTGGATAACTGATAATTGAGAGCTACAAGCTCAACAGTAGAAAAATAAATGTGAAATAACTCTGCAAGAAGATTTAGCTTTTCCTCATCAAAAGTTAAAAATAGATAAGCTGTACAAAGATGTAACTTAGTACTCACTTTAGAGAAACGGTTGCTCAACTCTTGAAATTGCATGACAATCACACTATAGAACAACTCAACCCAATAATGATGCAAATTTGTAATTTCTTAACCTCTTCGTATTGATCTTCATCTAGCCTTAGAAGAGGAGTTCATGTTTGGAACTTCAATTTCAAAAATATTACAAAAGCAAGCCACTTCTTTTAATAAGGATCTCATCCCTCACATCATTTGCAATTGTTGGTTTTGTTACATGCACTGATTTCATTGCATTCACACTAGCTGGATCTCAAATATTTTTTTTTTTTTTTTTTTTTTAAGATTGTGCTCAGGCCTGGCTTGTGTTGGGCTCGTGAACAGTGTGTTTGTGTTCGGCTCGAAAAAACTTATTCATGTCCGTGTTCAGCTCGAAATTGACTCGTTAGAATATAAAATTATTATAACAATTAGTTTTTTAAATAAAATTAAAATAATATTTTTCTCTAAGAAAATGTTTGTATAAAAATTAATTAATTATAATTTATAATATTATGAAATATATATATATATATATATATATTTGAGCCGAATACGAGTAAACAAACTTTAGTTCATGTTCGACTCATTAGACATAACGAACGAGCCAAACACAAGCTACTTAACGAGCCGACACTAGCAGTTAGCGAACAACGAGCTAAATTGACAGCCCTGGTGAAAATTCATTTGTAACCCCAAAAATATAAATTATTAAATGCATTGAGAAGACATCGGCTTCAACAAAATGCTGATCATGCACTCCAACTTCCTTTATAATCTCAAGAACTGCAGGTAAAAATGCCTACATTTTCATGAGACTAGTTAAAATATGAAAATGTGAGCTCCAACGGTGTCTCCAGCTCGTTGTAAAGTAATTTCTTGATTCAAACAACAACATCTAATTAAATTCCCATCTCTAAGATGTAAAGAATTTTTTCATGTTAAATGGTTTTAAGTGCATCACCATCTTACAAGTGGCTCTAACGGTAGTTAATATTTTTGAAGTGAACTCAAAAAGATGTTTAAATTGCCAATGATTTTTTGCTACAACTACCATGTATAACTGAAGCTGATGAGCAAAACAATGAACATAAAATGCTTGAGGATTATATTAAGAATGAGTGCTTTCAAACCGTTGAACTCAACTCACATATTGGATGTCTCTTCATGTCCTTGGTCACGTATCCCATGTAAGCTTAATAAATGCTTTGCAAGTATTGATTCAAGAGGTATTTTGAGTGCAACTGAGGTTGTTGAGGAAATATGTTTAACACCAATAAATCTTTAAATAACTTGCCCATTTTTTATCATCATATCTCACTACAACAATAAACTGTTCTATTGTTGACACATCATGAAACTCATTAACTATGATGGAGAAGAGATAATCACATATTTCTTTCATGATATAAGCTTAAATTTCATCTGGTGCAGTTTGACAAATTTCTTTTTGAACCTTTAGTGAAATTCGTTGTAGCTTTGAACTAACATTTTCAAATGTAACTTCTTTGATTTCTTCATTATAATTCTTAAGAAAATGAAATAGCTCAAAATAATTTTCCTGATTGGTTGATTCAAATGATTTATCATGCCCACGAAATGACAATTTTGTTGTAGAAGAAATCAAACTCAATCAACAACTGCAGTCAACATAATTCTATATTCTTTTTTATTCCTCTCATCCTTTATCAACAACATGGTGAAAACACTCTCCATCTGAGGCTTTATTAGATCTTCATATTTTTATGTTGTCTTATTATGAGCATTGTTATGATCTCCAATGTGAGATAAAAGTTTTTTTTTCCTCCAATTTTTAAATCCTTTATTAACAAATGAATCCCCACCTCCATGACTTGTACCAACCATTTCTTGAGGCTTAAATAAATAACAATAGAGGCAATATGTTGCATCTTTAAGCACACTATACTCTAAACAAGATGAATGATCCTCAAACCATTTTGAAGTTTATCTAGCATCTTAACATTGCTTAAAAACATAGCACACACTCGAGTAATTAAAATGACAGGTAGAGACAAAAAGTTTTTATACTGGAAACCACATAAAGGGAAATAAATCATGAGACAGAACCCGATTGAAATAATTGATTATGTAATAGTGAGTATACATGTACACTCTTCTCCTGAGTTAGAGAAATCTGAATTGAAAAGTTAATGTACAACAATATTTCAATAATAATAATTGTAACAAAAAAAATTTATTCGATTGTTGCAGAGGCAGTAGTGCGCCGTGAATATTGTTATTGATAGTTGTAACTTCAGCTTATTGTAGAAGCCATAGTTGAATGTTGTGGCGGTATTTGACTATGTTAGCTATAAATGGTTGCTTCGGGAAAGTCGATTGGCCACATACATCACAGTATGAAGCTGCACTAATGTATGTAGCCCGCAGAGGTAGGTGTCGAGAGTGGTATGAGTTGAGATAATATTCGTAGGCCGCAAATGTCAAAGTTGGGGGTTGTATCAGCTTAAATAGCATATGTATGCCACAAAGGCTGCAGTTTGGAGTTGCATCAGCTGTGCTAATGTTCATAAGCTGCAACTGTCAAAGTTTGGAGTTTCATGAGATGAGATAATGCACATATGCTAGAAGTCTAGAGTAAGGAGCTGCATGAGTTGAGAAAATGTTGGCATGTCACAGAGGTTTGAGTTGGGAGCAGCATTAGTTGTAGACCACGCTTTTCATTGTTGCTCATGTAGGTCGTAATGGTGAGATGCGATGAGAGAACTTCAGGATTCCAAAGAAGATTATCATATTCTAAGTACGGTTGTTATAAGCAGTTTTACATTGAGTTACATTTGATCCGACTAGGGTTTGTTATGCCGCATTCAAGCTACTTTTTTTACACCGTCTTCAGGAAGTGTTGTTGCACCATCTTTAGGGTGAGTTGGTACACCGTCTTCAGGAAGTGTTGTTGCACCATCTTTAGAGTGAGTTGGTACACCGTCTTCATGGTGCATTGTTGCACCATCTTCAAAGTAAGTTGTTGCAACATCTTTGGGGTGGTGACACTACACCATCTTCGAGATGCGCAGCTGCACCAACTTTGAGGCGCATTGTTTCATCATCTTAAGAATGTTTTGCTACACTACATTTGGGGTGAGTTGTTGCACCATCTGTGCTTCATTACTTTGTGACTAATATCAAGATTTCATAGCGTATGTCGTGATTCAGCTCATTCTTCTCTCTACCCTTCTTGAGGCTAAGGTTTACATCCATATCCCCTCTCAAGAGGGTGGGTATGACTCTATTTATATAGTCTGTGAGAGGCTTCTTTACAAAGAGGAAAGGAATCTAAATAACTCCATCGAACGATCTTGAGAGGGTCCCTCGATCAGACAATGTTCTGCCAACATTTGAGTTCTTAATGATGCCAAAATTTAGAGGTCTTTTGCTCGTTGTATTCGTCTTATCGAAACACTAGAATTGATTATAAACTTATCAAATTAATTTTAAGACTTATTTATTTAACCTAAATTAATTATACCAAATTATAACTTATATTAAGTTTTAAGTAAATAAGTTTTAATCGAGCACCTTAACTAAATTATTAATGTGCTTTAAAAGAATTTTTTTCTTTATTTACTTTTTTTCTTAACTTGACTTTTAAATGATTTTAAATGATAATAAAATTTAATTTAATTTTAAATAACTTTTTATCATATTATATTTAAATTAAAATAGTAAAAAAACTAAATTATGAACATCAGTCCTAAATCTCGATAACAAAAAAATATTGAAGTTAATTGAAATACTTAATATCATATACACACCATTATTTTTATTTAAAAAAAAATACACGTATTTTATAATGTGCCGTCCATATAAAAACTGAAGTATAGATGTTAGATATCTAAATACATAGAAAAAACCCTAAACATGCATATAAATATTCCAACGAAAAATTCATATTACTTTCGTGCAGTTAGATTTGGACATGTACATTTTAGTAGTATAAAAACAAGCTAAATATCGTTATTTAATCACTAATGTTATTCCAATAATTAAACTTTTCGAATCGCCAGCCTTACGATATATATATATAGATATATATATATATATACATATATATCGGAAATAACACAGCTTCCTCCCGCGTTTGCCGCCTCGGACAGCGGCGTCCTTTCGCGGCCACCCACTCAACTTTTTTCGTCTTTTATTACTACATTTTCCTTTTTTTTTCGGAATTTGATTTCACACGAGAAGTTCCGCACCTTCTTCTTTTCTTTTCCTTTTTCTAGTATATTTAACATACCACACAACTTTTATGCATTCACATGTCCAAGGCCTAAAATTGGATATTTACATTTATAACACTAGTATTAAAACCTATACATAAACAGTTGTATTTCACATCTGAAAATTTAGGCAGGGGTTAAATTTGTAAATACATTAAACTTGTGTGATATGAATATAAATAGAGCTAAATTTAATCTTAAATGCAGGAATTAAAATCTACTCTCAACAAACAAGCTAAGGTCACCTACAACATTTTTGCTCTCTTTAATAGAATTTTGAGATTTAGTTGTCAATGTTAAGGGAGCTATGAATTAACATGATTTTTTTTTGGTATTTATAGGAAGTAAATTTATGTAAATGATTGTTTTAATAAAATTTAAATATATCAAAAAATATTTATTTAGGAGCATTTGCAACACAATTTTATATATTTACAATTAAATTTTTTTATTTACACATAAAACACAAATACTCAACATCACGTAAAAAATCTATTATTAATTTTGTAAACGTGAATTTTATATTTTCCATGTGTATCTATGAACATATTAAACTTTAAATATTAGACATCTAAACACATAAAATCTGCATGATATGCACGTAACATTTTCGAACTTTTATTTGTGGGTTAGAAATTCTTTTATATTGGCCAATTTTTAAATACAGTCACCTAAACCCAACATCCCTAACCTTAGCGTTCACAATCTTCACCTTGCTCTAATGCTCCTTTCATGCATCAATGCCATCATCCCTATCAAGGACTGGCGCCCAACCATGCAAAGAAAATAATATAAAGAAACTTGAAATTTAAAATACATCATAATAAATAAGAAGTTAATTTCATTGCATTTTTATTTTACCAAATCAAATAATTCATAAAAATAAATAAATAATTTCTTTAGAAGATTTACATGCATATCAGCCAATTCTTATGTATTAACATATCTAACACCTAAAATACTTTTGCATGAAAATATGTATTTCACTTCTTAAAAGATAAAATTTTTTATGTGATATGGAAGCTTTGGGTGATATAAATATAAAAAAGCAAAATTTAGGTGTTAGATATGTAAAAACATAAGAATTGGTGTATGTACCTACAAAATTTTATATGTATTTTAAAATGTTTGTAAATATATCAAGGTAAGTTAACATTTTATGGAGCATAACAATGAGTTTCAGTATCATACAATTCAAATTTCATTTTTACCTGTCATGTAAACATAACAGCTTATGATATCGAAGATTTCTTTGATCAGTCAAGGGTGACATGACTACCTTTCAAACTTGCTTGCCCATGTAATTGTTTTCCTCGGGCCCACTGCAGCTTTGATTTGATGAGAAAAGACATTGAAGTTGGTTCAAAGACTGAGCATGGTAACAAGGACTAATAAGTTGGGAAAAAAGATACATAGTTTTATATATTTACATATCTAAAACCTGAACTTTCCTTTTTTACATTTATACCACCCAAATATTTCATATCACATCAAAAAAATATCACCACTTTAATATTTAAGAAGTAAAATATACCTTTTCATGCATAGGTAAGGTGGCATATTCATAAAATTGAAGTTCACATGTTAGATATGTAAATACATAAGAATTGAGTGGTATGTTCGATAATCTTCCAAAGAAAAAAAAGGTAGTTCTCGTCCAAACCAGAGTGTTAACTATTAGAAGATTCCTCAGTTTCATCATGTTTTCGGAACAATCTTAATGCAAGGGCATATACTTCTTTTCTATTCGCTGATGTTCCCTCTGCAACAATTTTCACTGACTGAAAATATACTTGTATTAGAAGCATAAAAAAGAAAAAAAAACAAAACTGGGATTCACAGATGTAACAAAAAAACAATCAGACAAGTTAATGAATTGAAATGAATGAGAGAAGAGAAACAAAGGTTTATCTGAAAAAAACATGTATGAAGAATGGGATGATACAATATCATCATCATCGTCTTCTTCATGGGTGTTATCCCAACTATTTAAGGGTCAGTTTTACACACACACTACTAGCTGTCCAGCTGATCAGAGCTAGCCGAACGACATATTACAATATGCAAAAAGACCATAATATCATGTACTGCCCTCTTCAAAGTAGGGTTAAGCATGTAATTGTCCTTCTATCTTCTGTAAATAGGAAGACCACACATGTATTAAAGGGCTTTTATTTCCCTTCTCTCGTAACACAAATATTCAGTGAAATAACAAGGGTCTGAGAGCCAAGAGAACACCCCATTCGCCCCTACACCTATCGGGCAAGTCTTTTGTTCACTCTCTCTTTTTTCATCCCTACATTGGTTCAAACGCTCTCTTACGTGGGTATGATGTACATTACAAATCTAGATTCAACAATATATATACTTGATTTTAAAATCCAGCCAGTGCAGCCCAAGTCCAAAGCCAATAAAAATATCTAGTTTTTGATAAACCGCTCTGTTCTATTATTGATTAGTTTTTTACTTTCTGATTTTTATCCGATGGTTTAAAATAAAATAATTAGTTTAAAAAAATAGATAAAATAATTTAAACATCATGTTCCAAATTTTAAGATTGGACCTCGTTGAAGAGGCTACCATTTGTATTTGTGTGCAGCTTTTCAACATAACTGATTGGATATCATTTAAATTCATTCCATGGGACATGCTGCACATAAGAAGAAAGAAGACAATGTAGGCGATTATACTACATCGAGCTTCATTTCAAACTTGGCCTAAAGCAAGGAATACTCAGGCTGACAAGATGGAAGCTTGAATGAACTGACCCGACCATTCATAACAACTACATACTAGTTAATTAATTCAAAATTTCAACTTTATGGTAGTAATGGTTAATAGCAAAACAAAATTTGTGAAATTTTACATACCGTAGAAATACTGTGGCCCTTCAATACCAAATCTCTCAGTTCATGCTCGAGTTCATCCTCAGATGGAGCTTTAACAGGAGAATCTGCCCTACCTTCTATCAAGAGCGTAATTTCTCCTTTAGGTTGTCTACTTGAAAACACCATAGCTGCTTCTCCTAGAGTACCTCGCCAGAACTTCAACAACATAACAAAAAAACTGTTTGTAAGCAATTAAAAGCAATGGTTGTAACAGATCCATTGGGATAAAATATCATCTAATAATTCACATTTCAACTTTTCAAAAGCTCCATTTAAATCAAAATATCCAATTTCTGGAGATATTTGTGGGATTTAGAGATGAACTTTTGAACTACTAATGCATTGCTCAACCTTACTCAGCTGAAGATCTTACCAACTTCGAATGCCTCTACTAGAAGAAGCCAAAACATTCAAAATAGATAAAACTGACGAGCACAATTTAGATGATAAATATAGTTTAGAGATTAAATTATTCCATCGTATCTTTCTGTTGACCTCTAAAAAACTCAAGGGAAGGTTGATCCCAAATAGAATTTAATTAGTTCCTGCTCAAGCTGAGCATGTTATTGCTAGAATTTTGATCTGTCATCAGATAGATCAAGAATAGCTAAGACATGCAAGTTAATATTTTGGGAAATTTACATACCTAGCACACAATTCTTATGTATTTACATATCTCACACCTAAACTTTCATATTTACATACATCGCACTTTGGTGCTTTAAAACCACACATAAAAAGATGGATTTCACTTTTAGAAAATAGTAATAGTGCTATTTATTATGTGATATTAAATATTTGAGTGCTTTGTGTAAATATGAAAGTTTAGATGTGAGATATCTAAATACACAAGAATTGTAATGTATGTAAATGCCCCTCATATTTTTAACTGAATCAACGCCATCAGATTTCCCAACAGCCAGCGCATGCGCTAGAAAGTTAAAATGCACTTTAAGCAAGCTACAGCACATTAATCCTTGGTACGCTATTATTAAAGGAATGGAACTTAATATTAAATAAACTTTAGGCGAATGAATAAACTTATAAATGAATTCATAATAACTAACATACAAATAAAACATATATACATTTATTATCGAAATGATCTTAATAAAAATACGAAATTTTATAGCAATAGCATTAATCATTTTTATAAGAAGAGAGAATTGGGGTATAAAATTTTAGGACAATTAAATTTTTGCCTTTTTATTTAAATTTTAAATATTACAAACGGTTCCCATAAGGCTTATCCGTTCAAACCTCACTAGAACCTGATAGAGTGGGTGGTAAAAAATTGTACACCAAATGCGACTATAACTCCGACATTCGGAGGCGGGAGAATACATAACCTAATTTCTCTAATCAATTTGATTGAAACAAAAAAAAAGGATTCGATACTCATTTAGTTCATCAGCTTAACCTTCGAGATTAAACTTAAACTCAAGCTAAACCAAAGAAGAATCAAGGACTAGCTCTAATATGAGCTACTTGATCCTAGATAAAATAAAATTCGATCAAAATTAGCTAGAGCCTAATCAAATTCCTTATAAACATGACTAACAGCTGGGATAATTTAGGTATAGCCTAAGCAATTTAAGTCACTCCATGTTTGGAAGTTGTTGGCTTTGAAAATTTTCATACTACTCTGATATGCTATTCAAGTGATTATGAGTTAAATACTTAAAATATATATTAGAAGTTTGTAAAAGAATGCTAAGAGATTTCACCCTCTAACAACGACTTCAATTTTTGGTTTGAAGTTTTTCTATAGGCATAAATACCTATGGTTATGACACGAGGCTCAGGGGGATGAACTGAACCATCTATGCAAGGGTGAACCGATTCAACCAAGGTGATACGGGGGCCGGCCGGCCCTTTTTCGGTTTAAGTTTGCAGCCCAAAGGGAGGAACTTCCCCCTCTTAGTTATATACTTTTATAAATACGTTCTTTCCTTTGTTTATGGTTAGTTTTTTTTGCTATGTATTCTGTCGGGAAACCCTTCGGTGCCCCCACTTTCCCTCTTAGGGTTGTATCCGATCGCGAGTGGTACTACGGTTGTATTTTGCTCCGAGGTGGTGATTATCGTTGATTGTCCCATCATCTGCAACTTGCCCTTGCTGCTCTCCTTCACCTATTCCTTCCAATTTACCGCCGCAAACTTTCATATATGTCAGCTGCTGCCACCCAAACCCTCCTACCTGCCTGTTACTATTGTCGATTCCTCCCACCTTCACTGCTGACTGCCGCAACCCCCATCTCCTACTGCATGTTACTAGCAGTCGGCCTAACCTGCCATCCTGCTCATCGATCCCACATCATGAGCCAGCATGTTGGCTGCCACCCTTCCCCTACCTTCCTACTTGCTGTCCAGAACTAGCAGCCACCCCTCTCCTGCTGGCTGCTGCCTTCCAACCTTCCATCTGCTTACTGTCACACCCTTCCAACCCTCCATCTGCTTACTGTCGCACCCTTCCAACCCTCTTCCCCTTGTTGCTTAGCCATCAGACAACCTCTCCTGAACTATCCAAGAACCCCCCTACCACCTACCACTCTCGATGTCCACCACCTCGGCCGCAGGCCACCCCAATTTGTTCTCGCCCTAGGGTGTCCTTTATATGTATGATGTTAATTCCCTATTGTTAAGAGTAATTGTTTGTAACCCTTTTGAATTTCAATAAGAATATTTGAATTTCTATTGTGGCTTGGGTTAACTTTAGTATCATTTGGTATCAGAGCTAGCCTAACCCTAGTTTTATCCTAGGATTTCCTAGCATCTGCCTTCCTAGTTTGAAACCTGCCCTATTGATCATTGGGAGATGTTCAAAACTTAGCATTAAAAGTTGAGAGGCAACAAAAATAAAACAGACAATCACCATCATTCAGATAACCACTATGAGTGAGAAATCTGACAAGAATAGCACAACAATAGTCCCAACCAAAAAAATAATTCAAATGTCATGGATTTGGACACATTGCCTACAGTTGCCCGACAAGCCAAGTTGTGCCTTTTGCATAGTGGAGGATGTTAGTGACAAATAAGCGGCCAGGGAACAGAGTGAGGAGCATCATCTGCCACCGGATGAGGGCGAGACACTCGTGATGCGATGGGTCCTACAGACAAATGATACGAGGGAACCGCAGTTGCTTCACCACAACATATTCTACACTCGTTACACTGTGAAAGAAAATGTATGCAGTCTCAACATCGATGGAGGGAGCAATAACGACATGGAGTCAAAGCAGATGGTGGAGAAATTGAGTCTTATGACTCAGAGTCATTCTCAGTTGTTTTCTCTAAAGTAATTGAAGAATGAGAACAAAGTTAACGTTGATAGGAGGTGTCTAGTGGAGTTTTTTATTGAAAGCCACTATAGGATCAGGTGTGGTGTGATGTGGTGCCCAAGAATGTTTGCCACCTTTTGTTGGGGAGATCATGACAATTTGATTGTAGGACTCAGCACGAAGGGTTCAAGAACGCCTACTCGTTCACCAAGGAAGATAAATTCATCGTCATTCTACCTTTTGCCGAGTAAAAAATTACAAGAGCCCTTACCAATAGAGAAGCATCGAAGGGATTAGTTTTGATGACGATAGAGAATGATAGGACTGATGCCGATTCCAGACACTTAACAATCACAATAGAAAGAATTTCTAGACATTATGATCGATAACTCACGACCATGGCCACCACCGTTCGGGGAGGTTCAGGTTACCCTCACTTCAGATTAGGTTGAGCCAACATTGGATTAATTTGTGAGGATTCAACATAATATACGTGACACGGAGTACCAATTCCTTTCAGTAGTGTACCCCCAGAAGGTTGGGCCAATAAGGATATATGCTCGCAAGTAGAGAAAATTCCTCTAGTGTTTTGGGAGATTGTGCAGTCGATAGTGGGATCTAGGTGCTATTAGAGCCACAATCGAAGAATCTTCAGCCCATAGAGATTAGAACATCTCCATCACTGTCAACATGTAGAGAGAAGCTTCGAGGAATGAGGTCGAAGTTCCCTCAACCCGGAAGACTCACGCGGGCTTAGGGGAAGGGGGGAGGGGGTGTGGTCGTGCAAGAGTGAACTAGTCAACCAAGGTTATAGGGTGGCCAACCAACCCTTTTTCGGATTAGGGTTGTGGTTATAGGGTGGCCAGCCAACCCTTTTTCGGATTCGGGTTGTGGCACAACCGGAGGGTCTTGCCCCTCCTAATTATCTATTATTATAAATATGTTCCTTTCTTTGTTTAGTTTTTTTTTTTATGTTTTATGTTAGGATAGCGTCAACATCCACTTAGAGTTGTATCTGAGGATGATTGGTGCTCCGGCTGTATTTCGCTCCGAGGTGGTAATTATCCTTGACTTTCTCATCCTCCGTAACCAACCCTCGTTGTTCTCCTTTGTCTGTTCCTTCTTGTTGGCCGCTACAAACTTTTATACATGTCAGCTGTTGCTACCCAAACCCTCTGACCTGCTTGTTGTTGTAGTGGATCCCTCCCACCTTCCCTGCTAACCGTCGCAACCCCCATCTCCCACCACATGCTACTTGTTGCCGTCCTAACCTACCAACCTGCTTGCTGATCCCACATCCCATGAGCCAACCTGCTGTCCAGAACCAACAGCCACCCTTCTCCTGCTGGTTGCCGCCTTCCAACCTTCCACATGCTTGTTGTTCCCCCCTTCCAACCCTATTCCCCTTGCCGTCGAACCACTAGACAGCCTCCCCTTAACTATCCAGGGACTACCCGACCACCTACCACTCTTGGTGTCCACCTCTACCACAGCAACCCCTTCTCATCTTTGCCCTTTTATGTTTATGATAGTAATTTACTATTATTAAGAGTTTTAATTGTAATCCTTTTAAATTTCAATAATAATATTTGCATTTCTATTATGGTTTGAATTAACTCCGTATCAGATTAATTATTATAATTTAAGCTAGTTGGTATGCTCTATGATGCTTTATTTAAGCACCAAAAATTTGGTAGAATATATCGTTATTTGTCCATCTAATCAAGATCTACTGATTCTCTCATCTCAGATTGTCATAGATCATGATTTGCTTATTCGGTGGAGATAATCAACGCAACTTAATCGAAGAATCGTTATTAACAAGCATAAGACATTATTTAAGATGACCTTGTAGACTTGGAGAAAAAAATTT